CTGTCCTTGTCTGGACATGAGTCTGGAATAAAGATGAACTGAACTGAATACAAAATTAGACCTGTGAAAGTCTCTTCCTATATGGAGGAATGGGAAGTCTGTAATAGTATGAGCAACACATGATTCACTGGTTAGAGCTTGAATGATGTTAGGCTATAATTTTATACAAACTGAACAACTGAGCTCATTGATATTTCATACAAAAAGGGAAAAAATGGTTAATGTTCAGCATTGTGAAATTTGATGGAAAGAGAAAGAAATGACACCTGAATAAAGGTATCTATGGTCACTGTTTAATTGAGTATACAGTGATCAATCATCAGTGCTAGACTAATTAAATTCATTTTTCCTTTGAAATTATAACCATAGTCATTCTAAAAAGTCTGTATTAGACTATTAAACTCAGTAGTAGACACACATTTGACCTTAATACATTTAGCAAAAGCATCAGCCACAACAAAATACTTTCCCTTTGTCTCTCTCTTTCTCAAAGTCTTCCTGGTCCATCATTCTTCTCCACCTCCACCTCCTCCTCCACTCCAGCTGTTAAACCAATTAAACGCTCACCAAGGGTAGACTGCCCACTCTCCTATTGAGAAAAATACATGCAATAAAAAGCTTTCACTGTGCACTGCCATTGTGTGACAGCAAGGCCGCCATCTTTAATTATGGCCTACGCCCCCACCCTTCTCCTGTCTCAATAGAAGTGGGCTGTAGGTACAGACAGGGCTGGCGTTCGGAGAAAGGTTTTGTGTTGTGCAAGCAGCTAAAACGAGGTGCGCTGGTAGGACGCGGCGTGAATAGCTATAATCTCAGGTGTTAGACAAGGAGAATGAAGGATTAGAAGTTTGCGGTACAACTGCAACATATGGCAGAACAAAATGCTGAGTGCTCACAGGAAACTGAACTGTACTTTCCAAGTTTTTTTTTCAAGAGATTCAGTCTTTACTGGGCAGCACACTAATAGCATGGTAATTGAACATGAGGCATTTGCAGTCCTGTTGTAAATGCTTACAATGTTTATAGGTCATTGTCTTTACATGGGTCTATGTTAGAGTGATAGACATGCCAAGTTTCCATCAGTAATTACCATGTAACTAGACTTTTACTTATCATGCTATTATGGTGAATGTAACTATTATGCTGTTCTGTTATAGTGTGAAGGCTAATATATTCTTCATTATTAGCAAGTCATCAACAACAGATTTGTGAGATGTAATGTGACATTTACAAAAGTATGATGTTAAAACACAATAGTGAATGATATTTTGAATATGATGTGACATTTAGAGTAGAATAAGCTTGAAAACACAGTAGAAGAATGAAATTTTGAATCTCATAATGAGAAATGGACAATAACAAAGTATGAATTTACAAACGCAGAACAGGAAATTTATAGTAACAGAATGTGAATTAATATTAAGCTCTTATGCCCTCACAATAGCTTAACCTGAATTCACATTAACCAATAGTACATTCCCAGGATGTTGTTGTGAAATCACAATAAGCTTCTCTGGAACTGTCAAAGTATACAGTAGTATTGGGAAATATTTTCAGATTACCTAATGTGTAATCACAGCAATAAATAACCAATACATTTGTTTGAATTTCTCGTGGACAGTTTAACAATGTATGTGTGAATATGTTATATGAATATGCCACGGTGATCCTTGTTACCCTTGAGGCAAGAACTTTTAAAAGTTAGTGAATTAAATATCTATGGAAAGTACCTGGAAGTGAACTGAGCAGATAACTATATCAAAATAATCTGTGGTGATTTGACATTACTCTATAAGGAAAAGAGAAAAAACATAATACCGTATGTAGAATGTGTAAATTGTCCAACATTTATAAAAAAAGCAAAAAAGAAAGACATAAATCCTATGACTAGATAGAACGCACAGTGTGTCTGGCATCTGAGCACAAATTGCTCAAAGTGAAAAATTGATCGTGTCACTGTGCTGGTTGTCAGTTTTATGGCCAGATTTTAAACTGATGGAAAGAAAGAGCAGAAAGGGCAGCGGTAAAAGCAGCAGAGACACATCCTAAAAGGAGGTGATGGAGGGGCATTATGGAGCCATGATATCAGCGGAGGAGTGGAGAACATGGGGGCGCACACAGACCACTCCTCCCCTGTGCCCTCTGCCTTCGGGGGACACCCAGGGCAGGTCTGGGGAATGTGAGGCATGACAGAGGGAACAAAGCTGACTACTGTCCCCCAGAGAGAGGCCTTGTTCTGGGCCAAAGGGCGACAAGGAGCCAGCCGCGCAGTGCTGGATGAATGGAGGCTGGTCTGACTGACTGGACGTCTCCGTGGACCCTCAGATCCCCAGTTGGCAGGCTGCTGGCCCAGGCCCGTTGCCCACAGAGCAGGCATGTAAAGAAGCCAGGGCAGTGGTGGAGAATGTGAAGCATGAGAGGGGAACAAAGAGCTGCAGTGTCCCCCAGAGAGAGGTCTGGAACTGGGCTGCACAGGGCACTGGCTCAGCCTCTGCAGGGGTATGAAGATGTGGGCCGACCAACAGCAGACTGGTAGTGCTGCTAAAGAGCGCATTCTTTTGGATTGTAGTTTATTTATGCTGTAACTTTAAAAGAGAGTCAAGGATTGTAATGCTCTCTTTCAGTAAGTCTTTATGTAAAACTTCTAAACATTTCTTTTTTTTTTGCTTTTCACAAATGTTGGACAATTTCACTTTCTACATATTATGTTTTTTCTCTTTTACTTATAGAATAATGTCAAATCACCAAATACCATACCATGTTGACTTTATTTATAAAGCACTTTAAAAACTTTACATCTGGCCAAAGTGCTGTACACAAACACAGGATAGACAAGGACAATCGCAGTACAACACAATACGCAATACAAACAGAATATAACTACTAAAAACATAGAAAACAGTACTTGAATACTACAGTACAAGATACTCAGCAACAACAAATGTACATGTCACTTGTTAAAATAAAGTGAAAAAGGTGCACAGATTATTTTGGTATAGTTATCAGCTCAGTTCACTTCCAGGTACTTTCCACTGATGTTTTTAAATCTACATTCTGCCAGCAAAATACAAATGTTCTGAAGATAAAATACAGACATGTGATCAAAAACAAAAGTCTTAACTTTAACTATGTGTTATGTGTTGGGAGTATGATGTAGAATTTATGCAACATGGACTTGCGCACAAGTGGTGGATTTCCTCATATATTAGTACACTATGTACTACTTTAAGCTTTGAAGTGTACAACTGACATAGATCCATTGTGGTCTGTGGTCATTTGCATCATTGCAGTTGGGTGTTGGAAATCTGAACATAATAAAGATATGTAGATCTATTAAAGAAACTCTAAAATAATCTAAGATGCTAATGTTGTCTGTACTCATTTGTATGGATTTTTTTTTATGATTTGACAACATTAGATTTGAGTTGAGGGGTGAAAGAATGATTATTGCCTCCCTGCTGTTGCTTCTCTCAGACCCATCTCAATGTTTGTCATTCACCTGACAATAACTCTCCAAACATGCAATTGCATCAGAAAAACAGAGGAATAAACTCACACACAAACCCTTAAGCCAATTATTATCAAATTCTAATCCGAAGAAATCCAATTCAGTTGTTATTACAGTAGACACATTTTTGATAATAATTATGATGTATTTATTTATATAATGAAGCCACAGACTTTGAAGCAGCCATTTCCTCTCCGATCTCGGGTGCCAAGATGGAGACCAATCAGAAAAGGGCAAAATGGCCAATCACAAGCCGTATACAAGGAAATAGCCAATTAGGCCTGTTTGTCTGGGCGGACAAAGGAAGTGATATTGCAGCGTGATTGCACCAGCGCCGCGCTACACAAACACGTTCAAATTACACCTTTGCACACTGCCTTCCAACCCTCATTTTTCATGAGTGTAAGATCTTGATTGCCTGTGCGTTGGCAAGTGGGCATGTCTCATTATCACACCAAAACAATCACCACCTCGGAGGCAAAAAACACAGATTTTGTTTTCATTAGGGAGCTATTGAGTCACAGCTCTCCAGTCAAGGCCAAGGCACTCACGCACGCGCACACAAGATGGAGGTAGTCCGGCAATTTTGATTTTTTTTTTTTAATTCAGATGATTTGTACCTTATTGCGGTCTGTGTAATGAAGCTGTAAATTTGGAGACATGAGAGGGCTTTCAGAGCTCCTCAGAGAGACTCCTCAATAATCCTGGGACTGAGCTGGTTAATTAACTGATTGTTTGCCTGGCCCACAGCCATGGAGAAATGGGCAAGATGGAGGAAAAGACAAGAATTTGTTTGAAGAATAAAGATGGGTTAAAAAAAATGGGCTCAACTAAAAAGGGAATTGTTGCTAGCTAAAAATTTGGCATTAGTTATTGTTAGAATAATGCTTGAATTGTAAAGCTAAATAGACAGTTCCATGAAGAAAATGCTATTATTTTGAAAACATATTCAGCTGCCAGTTTAAACTCCAACTTTATAAGTCTTGTTCTTATAGGAGACACCCTGTTCTGATCTGTTTAATGTTAAATTTTTGGTAATAGCTTTGTCTTTTAAATTTCCTTAATATCATAATTGTAGTAGATCTGCAGATTGATATATGCTCAGAAAGTGGCATTTTTGGCAGGATACTCTCTACTTACTTCACTGAGCCATAAAACACTCCTTTTTCATTTACAGTATTGGTTTTATTGTATCTGCTGATGTTTATGGGTGTGTGATTTTTATGAAACTTTGTGAAACTGAGTAAAGGCCAAGGACCGTTATATTACAGTTTAGCGCTATGCCATAAAAAGTTTACATCTCTTTATTATCATGGCCAAAGTGGGTTTGGCTTTGCTCCAGATTAGTGCCATTTCAACATGTGCACATTTTAGACATAAAAAATAAAGATCTAAATGCTTTTATGACATGACTCCATAGTAAAGACATTAATACACAGTTCAATTGGTATCATAAGCACAGTTTATTGATATTAGCTACGGGGGGTCAAAGTTAGATCTTCTTGCTGGTTCTCTTCAGCACTACAGAGCCAGCTTTGGAAGTCTATGGAAAAAGAAAGATAGAAAGATATTAAAGTAAATATTATAAAGTATGTCTTATACATTTAGATTTTAAAGTAGTACTAAGACATTTTTAAATGATTACCTCAATAAGCTTGCCTCCAACAATCTCCGTGGTGTGGAGGTAGTTGGGAAAGGCAGCTGTCAGCTTGCCTCCCTCCATGTTGACTGTGGCCTGTAAACAATGGGAAATTATTATGAAAACAACTACTACTACTACTTCAGGCTTGAAAATGTCCATTTCAAAACTATAAAACTATGTAAAATACACAACACAGAGAATGATTGATGTACAATATTATAAAATAGCTGTGTCACTCTCTATCATTTAAAAAGTGGTATTGAAAGGAAATAGGTAGTAAATTATGCCCTGTATCCCTTAGGTCCATGTGTCACCAAGTCATAAAAGACTAGTGTAATATAAATATAGAAAATGTACACCTCACATTTTTATCAAAGTTTTTCAACAAGCATCACTATAAAAGATATTGAATTAAAAGGATCATGTTCAGCAGTATAAAATGAACAATACAAATTTGAAAAAGAAAGAAAGAAAAAAAAAAACATGGCAAACTAATGCAGAACTAAACTTGTAAACAATATACCCATAATACCCACTGTTGGAGAACACTTCTTTAGAACCCTTTAGCTGCAGATAGATACCTTGAACTTCTTCCCTCCGATGGTCTCCATGTCAGCCTCCTTGCCGATGGTGAAGGAGTTGGTGACCTTGTGGTTGGCGGGGTACAGCTGTGACCAGGTGAAGCTGTCTCCATCCTGTGTGATCTCAGTGATCAGCTTGTAGTCACGGCCCCTCTCGATGACGTCATCAGGGATGCCTATGGAGACCAGGTAATATGTTACTCTGTTAGAGTAGAACTTTTAAGTAGATTTTATTTTTACTTCACTGTATGTTGCAATAAATCATAAAATTAAAATTTGCTTACGGAACCTGCTTTTGGTTGATAATTAATTCCTAGAGATGCCTCCTAGTAAACTTCAGTTTGCGATTTTAAATTTATATAAAAGAGACTAGTTTTCTCTCATATACAAAAGGAAACTGTGAGCTTTTACTGGCCAAGCCTTTGAAAACTTTGATTATTTTTAAAGGTACACTGTGTCTCTTTTTAGTGGAGGGTGTGTCACCTCCCCCGAGATGTCATTGCTTTGCCTGGAATATTCTCCAGTACAGCATTATAAATTATTAAATTACTATTTTGATTGCAATTTTAACTTGGCCTAGTAGTGTCACCTGCATGTCTCCATGGAGGCAGATAGGTTTAATATCAAGCAAGCAAGAGGCAGACCTCCCACCAGAAAAGTTACATAGTGCACTTTTAAATTCATGTTCTGTTCTCACCAAGCAGCTTGCAGAACTCCACATATCCCTCCTGAGATTCAGTTTCCCATCTTCCGGCGAAGGACATTTTGTGGATGTAGTGAGAGGAGGCGTGAGGTGCTGAGGCAAGGCAAGGGAAGAGCAAGGTGCCCAGAGGAGAGGTGAACCTGCTTATATACAGTACCACCTCCCCTGTCTAATACATGTGACCACACCAGAGTACAATTACAGCTACAGATGACCACAATACGCTGTGAGCTAGAGGCCAATAACCCACTATAATGGCAGTTTATGGAGTTTGAGAATAGAGGGTAAATTGCTGACTGCTCATCAGGGCCACTGCCTCATCCAGGTCAGTGAACCCGCTCCAACCACTTTATGATCTGTTCTTTTACTACTCAAAATCACATAAAGGCCTTTGTTTTAACACTTAAACTCAGTGACACAGCGTACTGGCTTATCTTCAGAATTATAGAGGTTTGATACATTCAGTTTTTACAAGGTGGGTTTACTTTCAAGGACATTTAATGATGATGATGATGATGATGATGATGGCAATTATTTAGTACTCCAGTGAATTGGCACATGTAATTTCAGACCGATTTGGATTTATAGCATGAAATATTATGACAAAGAATAAGTAGAATATGTGGATAGTATGAAAAAAGTGAGACACATACCTAAATTCTTACATGGACCATGGTTAATTGAGTTTTGTTTGTTTGTTTGTTTCAGGACAACTCAAATTTATGGCATAAGGTCAAGTGTAAATAGACACTGACCTCATAAGACACAAAGATAAAGATATTACAGCCAAATAGCTAGATTAGCTCTTATGGATCAATGTTCTTTTTTTATTATTTTTATGATTTAACCTTTTTATTTACAGATACTTTTGCTCCTATTTGATTTGAATAGTTTTATTGCTTTAGTGAGGACCAGTAGAGTTAAAGTGAGTGTTATTTTAAATTTTATATATTGTATTTTTAGTGTGCATCACTTTGGGAACAGTTTATAAAAGGTGCTATAAAAATAAAGTGCATTGGATTAGACATTCAAATTAAACAAAACAAACCATAAAATAATCCACGTCTGGTACACAGCAGGGTTTATAAAATGTGTTAAATATGAACAAGCTTCAATAAATCTACAGTGTGTGTATAACAGCACCAGACTCGTAAAGTTGCTAAGTGCAGATGAAATTTAAGGTTTTTAGTCACACCTACTGATAAATAATACAATAAAATAAATAAAAAGTTCATAGATTGACCGCACCATGCCTTCTCACCTTGCACAACTGTGATCAAACACATCCAAATACAATTCAAACCTGTCTTTCTTTTCCTGTGCGATTTCAAAGCACACCATTAAGAGAAACAATTAGGTTAATTTGGACCCTGGAGGAAATGAAATATGTTGGTTGAATAGATGCAACAAAACAACACAAAGACAAATGTTAAAATCACATCTAAACAGAATCTGACTTGAATTAGTGCATTTGGACCGAAAGCTTGTTTAATCGGCTGAATAGTAGTCAATGGGTAAAAAGCTTTTTGATGCTGCACTTATCTCCACACAATACAGACATTTTCTCCAGATTATTGTCTATCGTGAAAAGTCAACGCGGCCTTGAAGCGTTTTATAGACACATAAAACGCCGCATTGGCCAATATCGCGTCAAAGAATCGCTATCTGAGACATTCTCACACTCAAACATGGGCCGAGTAGTCTGAAGTGCACAAACGGCAATTTGAAAAGGTTGTCATTACAATCAAGGCATTATACAGCAGGCTCATGTGTTTATTCTGCAACTCTGCGATGTGCTAAAAAGATTTCTACCTAGTGATCTATGTGAAGTATAGACACATAAATAAAAGAACAGATTGGATCAAGAAAAACATTTTTTATTCAGTACGAAGGAAGATCTACAGAGCATTTTACAGATATGCACTGTGACATGACATTGAGTGACATAGTGGGTAATACTTGTGCCTCACATCCAGAGGATCTTGGTTCAATTCAAGGACTGGACTAGGCCTTTCTGGGGTTAATATTTTTACTTTGTATGTGTGTGTGTGTGAGAGATTTTCAGATGTATAAAACAAGAGGGTCAGATTGGTCCTATCTGATGCATATCCAGTCACAGTCATTTCAAACTTTCAAATATTGCTGTACAACTTGCAAATGAAAATAAATCATTATTGGTGAGCTATAATGCTTTTTCATCACAAACATATCTGGAGTTGTGTTTCATTCACACATGTTTAACACAAAAACCCTGCATATTTAGGTTGTATTCTTCTTTTGGACAGAAACCAAATGTAAATCTTTACTGAACAAAAAGGTAAAAGGTAGCTGTTAACTTGAAAACTATCAATCCATGAAAGAGCATTTGAGCTTTGGGCATGTAGACTAATAATGCAGGATTACTCAAGCATGTGTGAATGAAACAAAACACAACTCGGGCTGTGTTTTTGAGGAGGTAACAGCATTATAACAAGACTCAATTCTACATAATACATCACTTTTAATGAGAAGGGTTTGATTGAAAATCTGCAAGCTGTGATACATCCCCATGCAGATGTGAGTGGCAGACCAAGTCAAGAAGTTGTCAGCATATGGTTTGTGGAGTGTGTTGGTCATATCTGTGTCTCAGCCCAAGTTAATTACACAATCATTATAAATGTCAATGTCAAGTGTGATATCAGACAAAGGCTCTCAATGTCACTCTAAATTGTGCTTAAATAAGTGATGACTAAACCACTTCTGCTGGGTAAGTCTGTAATTCTAACTGTTTGTGAATTAAATTTTCTTTATAATATGCTCATTGTCTGTTCTCTATATTATGCTAAATAAATTACTCCTCTTGAGAGCTTTAAGGCATATTATAATGTTGTTACCTCCTCACAAACATAACTGGAGTTGTGTTTTGTTTCATTCACACATGTTTGAATAACTTTTCATATTAGTCTATCTACATCTCCAAAGATCAAGATGCCCTGTTCCACTTAGTGATGTCTACACAGCAAAAAGTGGAGTGTTAAAAATGACTCTCACAGAATCAACTTTAACATTTTCTCAGAGTTGATATGAGTCCTATCTGTTCTAGAGTTAATTTAATATTTTTGGAAATGTTAATTAAGTAACACTGGACCAAAGTTTCTGTTTAACTCCAAAATCCAGAGTTATATTAACGTTTTGAGAGTAAACAGGTAACACTTTGTAGAGTTATTCTGATTTAACTAAACAACACACAGAGCTGTTTTATTTTATTTTTTACTTTATTTGAGTTAATTTAAGAAGAAATTATGTACAAAACTGGTTCAAACTGGTTTGAAGTGGGGTTATTTGTCAGAGTTTGAACTCTGACAAATAACCCCAGCTCAAACCCCCATTTAACCAGTTTTTGCTGTGTAGGCTGTAGTTTCCAAGTTAACAGCTACCTTTTACCTTTTATTCAACAAAGATTGGCAAGGACTGAAATCATCCAAATGATTTTAGTGAAGGTGTATTGAGTTTAAAAACATAATGGAGCCCTTCCTGTATTACCACATGACATCAGAAGGTGTAAGTGGATTGTTTTTCTGTCTAAAGTGAGTGTAACAATATGGTTTTGATGTTGTTGTTTTTTTTTTTTTTTTTTTAGCTATAACACAATGGCACCCTTCACACTTTAAGAACACTTTTTCAGGAATAAAATATGAATTCCAAACATACTATGTTGCATCATGTTACACAGCGTGGCCCTTTTCATTGAGCACTTACACAGGAAGCTTGCGCCATAGTACATTGCTCATACTATAAAAAGGGACTTTTTTACACAATGTTTTAATGCAATGAACATAATTTGAGTCACTGTGTAACTAGAACCTGACTATCCATTACCTAATGCCCAACTGCCTGAGAATGAAGTCATCATTTGGTCTGCAGTAATGATATATGATACTATGTTATTTATATGCAAGAAAACAAAGATGCAGTGATTATAAACCTACACAAAGCAATGAGACAAAGCAAGTTTACTCTGAACAGAAAGTGTGGGAAGAATAGATGCTAAAGAAAGATACATATAGATAGAATCCTTTTATCTGCAGCTATAAAGAGGAGATTTGCAATGGAGGAATTAAAGTAGCGAAGGCCTTGATATGCAAATGAGCCTAGTGCTAATCAAAGCAATAAGATTAGCCTTCCAAATTGAGATGAAGAAAGGCGCCATTATCTGGGCCGAGTGTCATGTTTAATAACGCGGAACGGCACGCTAATTCACTACTGATGCAACCGCAGCCTCTGTAAGTGTGCAGTGTTTGTGCATAGGGCTGCACTGGAGAGGGGACGAGAATATTTGAGCCATAATGAGACAAAGTAAAGACATGTGGAGTGGTGGGAGTGGCCAGGTGTTAGAACAATGACTTTAGAAGCATGAGGAGGACCACGTGAACTGTGAGCTTTTATGAATGAGTTGTAAAGCATAGCAACAGCAATGCATTGCCATAAAAGTAAATTATTTGTAGAAGGCCTACAAAATATCCAGATCATTACTGTATGGTTGTAAGCAAAAAGTAAATAATTGTATGTGTACAAGCATGTAACTATATACTTGTATTATAATTGGAAATAATATATTATATAATTTATGCATTTGCTTAGATTTTAAAATGAAAAGTTGTTTATACAAGACAGACAGACCTCACGAAGACATTGCATTGTGAACTGCAATATTTGATCATTGGAGGATGTTTTACCTCAAATTTCAGCGACAACAGTGTATGAGTGACCAAGGCAAGATGTGTTTAAATGTACTTTGCCTATTACCACAGAGACAACAAAAATACCTTGAATAGTGAAAGCCATACAAGAGGCTCATGGACAGACCCCCGATCCATGTTGCTGAGGGAACATATCCACAGTGCACCCCAGTTTAAATCTTATTTCTAATTCAATTACAGATAATATACTTGGAGAACATCATAACTGCATTTGAAACATGCCAATTCCTCTTGCGGGGGCTTTTAAATAGTTGATGTGGTTGTAATTAAACAGGTCTATCACAGCAGATTTAACCATGACTACTGACGGATGCACATTTTGCACCTTTACCATTGAGGAGCCTAATAAGGGAGAAGTGTCTCGGCGGCTCGGGCCTCGTGCCAGTGCAGCCATTAAGCACACAGACAGAAATAGGCCACAGTAAGCATTCTGTTGTTGTTATCTGTAGTGTTTCTCAATCCATTCTGACAGCCTTAGCATCCTTTGGGGGAGCAAGCGGCAGTCACTGGTGATTATGAAGCCCCCACCACTCTCCATCCACACAGCCAAATTATGCCCACATTAATATTTCATATTACACAAGACTTGCACAGGAGCCACATGTGTACGCAGCCCTTTGTCTTCATGTCAAATGAAATGTGCTCGGCAATCATCAGAGGTGGAAGTGAGGTGGAGAGAGGTGGGGAGAGGAGGGAAGAGGAGGGGAGAGGGAGGGCGGAGGCGGACAAGGAAGTAATGGAGGAGAAGTCAAGCCAAAATATGGAGAGATCAGTGGGGGTATAAGCTTTCATGGAGTAAGTGTTGGTATGATGGTGTGTGAGAGAGAGTCAAATTATTGAGGAGAAACAAAGAAAGGAAGGAAGTGGAAACAGTATAATCATAATCATTATTTATAAACATTGAGTGTATGCCAAATTATAGACCTATATGTCAGCTTCTCTCATTTAGACTTCATTTTTGCAATAGACCCAATCTTTCACAAAACAACAATCCTCTCAAAGCAATGCATTCACTCACATTTACTTGTCTAAATCCTTGACAAAATTGCTGGAGCTTCCTATAACTCAAGCCTTCACACAAGGCTTCAAAACATGCATTCCTTAATTAGAGCTGGTATATAAAATTGCTATTTAGTTTAGTAGATTAAATAAATAAATAAATGTGTGTGTGGGTAAACAGTGTTTTGTTTTATTCACACATGTTTGAGTAACCCTTCATTATTAGTCTGTCTAGTGTTTACATCTCCAAAGCTCAAAATGCTTTGTTGTCATGAAGTTACACAAACCATTTTGAATAAATAAATAAATAAATAAATAAATAAGTAAAATAGGCCTGCTTAAAGTATTTCTGAATTTTCTGTATTGATTAAATTATGCTTATGTCCAGGTGGTGTTAAGTTCTTCATTATATAACAAACAGGGTCAGTTTCACCAACAGATGGGCAGCCATTCTGAACAAAAAGCCAATCCATAAGTGCTTATTACCAGACATGATTTTGCATGAGTTGGCAAAATGTATGTAGAAGCAGAGACAATTGGCATTTCCTTCTGAGTTTTTTTTTTTTTTTTTTTGTTAAAGGCACCCACTTCAAGCTCCATGCTCGGTAATTGCACGCACACACACTTGACAGGAGGCACTAGCTAGCTGGTTGGCTGATTAACACTAGCTTGTCTGTTTTTGAGTGCGCTCCCATTATGCTAAGATTGCAGCAGCCTCTTGTTAACCCTCATTGTATGAAACAACCCAGTGGCTCACCTTCAAGCACACTTATCCGGCCCTCGGTCTCCAACCTCTCCCACTATCAACAATGCCATGTGTGCGCATATGCTGCCAGTGCATGTGTATGTGTGTGTGTGTGTGCGTGTGTGGGTGTGTGTGTGTGCGTGTGTGTGCATGTGTGTGTCCACTGTGTAGCTCTCCAAAGTTAGCAGCGGCCTGGAGAGCGCTTCACTGTCCTCTCGTTCTAACCTGATTATTAATTACAGTGTGCCTTTAGCTGACCGCAGCCTAAACAGGGTGAGACGGCGTTACCAAGGAGACTGACGCATCGATTCATTCACAAGATTTGGAAAATAAATGCAGAAGGATGCTTTTATAATTGTAACCATCCATAGTGTTAATATTATGCAAATGGGAAGGCCTACAAGGTTCATTTTATTTTCAAAAGTGCATTTGGGGAGATTTGGGATCTGGGATCTGTGCTATAGTGCATACTATAACTTCTTTTCCTGTAATTGCTAATATTGGTCAGTTTATATGGCAACTCTGTAATGCAGACTACAGCATAAACACTGACCCATCCAGAGGCAAATGATGGCAAGTCAAGTTTATTTTCTTAGACAATTCATACACAAAGTAGCCTATTCAAAGTGCTTTACAGAAAAGGGTGAATCGAATCACAATGATACCTAGCTTTTTGGAAATTATCAAATTATCTGAATCATCTGGTTCATATTATAACTGGATCAAAGCGTCCGTGTGGCAGAGAGTCCGTCCTGTCTGAGCACTCAACAGTAATCAACCTGGAGCACTGCCTGCAGCAAGGCCCAGGGACATACACTTTAAATGGGCTGCAGGCTCTGAGTGTTCATAAGCCTCCAATACACTTGTTTTAAGATGGAGGCAGATTGATGACTTCAGCGCCGATGAAATACGACTATAACGTCTCACAAGAGCCTGGGTTATAAAGTACAGAGCATTGGATGTTAGGAATGTGTTGGATATTGATGCATCATACATTCATAGTACACTTTGTCCATGGCTTTCAGAGTAATGAAAAGCAGCAATGTTGCTATAGCAATTAACAATTCAAAACAAAATATATCTTTTGAATAGTGAAAAGTCCTTAAAATGGTGCTGGGAAACAGAAAACTGAAACCCGTGAATAAGTGGAGTGTTAAAAGTCAAGACGGCATAATTATAATTTTTATTAATATTATTTTAAAGCTTAAAAATCTGGCGATAATGTACACAGGAAGTAGAATCACTATTCGCTAATCTGCAGCTTCACCCCGATCCATTCACTGTGTGGATGTACATAGACACATGTGAGGAACTACTCTGGCCTTTTTTTTTTCAAAGAATGCTTAAAACTGGATTCACAGCACTGTTTTGTGGACTGGATGTTATAATTTCCAGAGGACAATTCCTTTAGATAATGTGGATCAGATGCTGCACTTTAGATTTACCACTTTACGAGAGGTGAGTCTTGTCATTATTTTTGCTATATACCAAGTTTGTATCTTGTGCTTCCGTGTTCATCATTCCTCTGTCCCGGACGCTCTGTTTTATTGGCTGTTACCGTAGTGTTGCTGATGTTTGGTTGTTACTATCTGACAGAGCAGCTCAGAGTCACATTAACACCACACACAACAGGAGAGCAGTGGCTTCAAAATCACACACAAAAACAAAAAGTCGGGTGACATCTCCCCAAACTCAGGGAGAAGCAAATTAGAGCCAGAATTGGGCAAATTCTCTCAAAGTGTGTGGAGGCCTTAAGGGTAAATGACTTAGATCTTAGATTACTTACTGTGGCTATACCTGAAACTCTCCATGGTTTTCAGAATGATGAAATATCAGGGCAGCTGCCATAGTGATTAATAACTATTGATTAAAAACAAAATATTTTATCTTTTCATAGCAGGTTGTATATAGCAGAAATCAGAAAACCATGGATAGACACTTTGTATCATACAAATCTCTTCAATATAGAAACTTTTATCACAAACTTTCTATCCAAATTCCTATAAGATACAGCCTGTCCTTCTGAGGCTCAAGGATCTTGCAGCTGCATAGTCCATGCATTACTAACAGTATTTTGCAAACTCTTCACCTTGCCATCTGCACTGACCCATCAATGAAGACACAGCATGCTCTTTATTGTGTGCTGCCAATGCTTTGAACTTTGTCAAGTTTTCCCATTGTGCTGATTGGTATTAAAATGATTTGCTTTAGCAGTTGCCTTTGGAACTTTGATTCAGTCACTTCAAAGTGTTTTATTCCGTGCCCTGTTCTGTTATTTTGCCCCCTGTAGAGTATGGAACAGAACGCTGTCAAAACCAATATGCCGGAAGAGATAAAGGAAGGAAAATAGCAGTTGAACCAAAGGGAAGTATGGAAAATGGAAAGTCCTGTAAAATTTATAGATTGGTTTACTGTAGTCCACTGATTTTCAGCCCATATAAGGATATTAAGATGATTAGGTTCATCAATAATTAACATTATTTGGGTCGGAATAAGCATATAGTAACTGTGAGACTGGCATACTGACATAATTCAGCAACTTCAAGTCAATCTATGCTACTAAAAAGTAAATGTAAATGTAACGTATTTTTTATGTGTCTGTTTATGTCACATTAACATTAGTTATTCAGTTAGCTATTCAGAAAGTTTATTTTTCTTTTTGAAAGAAAATTAAGAATTGCACAACTGTTTTCTACTTGTGTCAATAATCATGAATAACTGTAAATAAATACATTTTTTCTTAGGCATTAAAAAATGATATCGTAGCATACCCCCAAGGGGGAGATAAGGGTCAGATTAATTGAAGACATAGATGATTATTCTTCAAGATCATGACAGATGGGCTAACGGGGGCCACTGGCTTTGCTGGGGGTCCCTGTTGCCAGAAGAGATTAGATGTAAAAAAGGGGCGTGGTTTTATTTATTGTGAATGGTATGGATGATAATGTCTGTCAGGCTGGACAATAATATATGGTCTAAGCAAAATGGGGGTAGTGAAATTATAGAGTATTTTATTTGTAAAAAATGTGCAGAAGGTAAGCTCTTTGTGCATTTATGTACAGGGAAGATGTGTTTGCCTTTCTCTCTATAACAATGATCAATGTATACAAAGTTAGTTTGTTCTGCTTTTGTGATGCTTCGACCAATCAGCTTCAAATATCAGTCATGACATTCCACGCTTACCCCATCGCTTTCAGCGAGAATTGTTCCAGATTGATAAATGTGTAGAACTCACTTCAGAATGCTATGAGCCAGGTTACATTAACCCACGTCTAATAAAAGAGTATATATATATATATAAAAAAAAATTTAATAATTAAAAAATTATATATATATATACATACATACATACATACATACATACATACATACACACACACACACACACACACACACAAACACATACACATCTATTAATAAGGATTACATATCTTATTCTCTTATTGCTAATTTCTTATTAGATATAGCACAAGTTTTAAGCCTTGCTACTACTAGGAAGTTTTTTCAGTCTTTTTGTTGCTGAAGTAGCTTTGGTAGTAGAAGTTGCAAAACAGAGCGGTCAGGCTAAAGGCATAGGCCACTTGCATGGCGTTGATGAAGTCTGGGTAGTCACAGTCAGCAAACAGGTTGTAGGTGCAGTGGCCCATTACAATGAAAAACTGAAACTGGTGAAGAAAAAAACTGTTATTTAAAAATGTACAAGACATAAACATAACAGTGAACATAAAGTAACCACATAAATCCATGGGAAAACACAGACCTCTAACAAGGCATTGACCACATCTTGCAATGAGAAAGATATGGGCCCAATCTTGCCCCCAATCTTAGCACTAGTGCTAGTGTTAAGGAGGGGGTGTGTCCAGGTCAGGCTGTACTTCACTTCACAGGAGGAGGGCATCAGCACGGCACATGAACATCCCATCCGGCACACGAAAATGTTATGTTAAGCATTTATCATCCTAATATATTTCCACTTAAAAGAAGCCTTCTGGCGATTCACTGAACGCACCACACCACGCCCTAAGTCTGCTCCACTCCACCCAATATTCAGGCACAGCACACCTCTTGTTTAGAGCTCCACACCCCACACTTGCACTAGCGCTAAGATCGGGGCAAGATAGGGCCCATAGTGTCTAAATCACCCACATTTAATACAGGATTAAGTTGTCTCTTTCTTGGGCACCAGTTTTCTTTGGTCCAATTTGCCAGCTCAAAATTCCTGATCATTTTTAACATTTTCACCAACTGTTTATTTATTTCAGCATTTATTACATTTATTTTATTTTATTATGTACACATAAACTTACCCCAAAACAACTTTCTATGGGCACAATGTGACATTATCAAGTTGTAAAAAATTGAAAGGAAATTCCATTGTGAATCACTGTCCCAGTAATTGAACTACTCTTATTTTTGCCTCTAATAACAAATGCCGCCTCCCGTCACCACCTCCAATCCTATACAAAACTCTGCCATTCTAATTAGTTCAACTATCTTAACCAAGTGGTGAGTCCAACAGTTAACAAAGACGCACTGGTCAGTTACATAATGCCAGTCAGCTGCAACATTGACCTATATATGCTGCTCTATATAGACCAAGGGGGAACTCTACTCACTGCATTGTCTCCTCATAAGCTCCATAAGCGGAAAACAGATGGTCCAGTAGCTAGCTGAGTAGCATCAGTGGCGCTAATCTGTCTTGTTATGCCAGTCCAAACAATGAAAAAGCAATTAGAGGGCCTTATGTTACAGCATCATCAGATCTGGACTGCATTATGTGAGGATGTTGTTATACTTGTGTTACATATCATTCCATAAACTATGAACTATTACACAATTTTGTTAAAAGCAAACATCCCTACTGTTTGCACATGCTTTTCTTGGACCAATTTAGATCATTATTTATATATATATATATATATATATATATATATATATATATATATATATATATATATATATATATATATATATATATATATATATATATATATATATATATTATATTTATTTTTTTTTTATTTTTTATTTTTTTTTTTATTTTTTTATTTTTTATTTTTTTTAAATCATGCCCAAGTTTTGAAATTGTAAAGCTTGGTCATTTTTCATGGTATTAATTAGAGTTAGGTTATTTCTCCTTATTGACTGATCACAATATTCTATATTTTCTCTTATTAAAAACAAACAAAAGATGGCATTCAATATTAATTTCCATACCATGAACAATCCAAAAAGACTGTATTGTTATTTACCACAAAAAAAAGTATTATTTAATTTTATAATTTTTTCTTCCAAAAACTTGCATGGCTATAGACCTAGACCTTAGCAATGACTGAACTGATTTAAAGCCTTAGATTAAATTCATTGCACAGCCCTAATACTACTACTACTCTAACATACAGCTTACTTTTTTTCCTCGTATGTCACACTCCACACTACATTGAAGCAGTGACCATAAATGATACACAAATTACTTTACAGAGGACTTTATAATACACCAGTTCCTACTGCAAATTGTCACTGAGCCTTTTCTTCTCAACACAGTGGTGCCATTTATCCAAGTTGGGACTAGTACAATGTTTACAGTCTCTTGCTATGCCATGTGGCTGGATTAAAAACTTACCAACTGCAAAATGGTGAGGTAGCGTTTCCACCATAAATATTTGGTCATGCCTGGTCCCAAAGCTGCCAGTCCATAGTACAAATACATCACAACATGGACCATAGAGTTCATCAGGCCGTTGAAGAAATCTGTGAACAAAATCTTAAAATTTTATTTCCAACACTTCTTGTACACTGCTTTAGTAATACTAGGGTATAGGGCACAGAGTACTGTACTTTGTCCTCCGGCTACATATTTAATTCCAACCCAACAGTTGAAAATCATTGTGGCATGATGATATACATGGAGGAAGGTCAGCTGATTGTTCTTTTTCCTCAAAATGAAAAACATCTGACAAAACAACACAAGAAAAATGCATAATTTTGAGTTTTAACAGAACTATTAACTTGTCAATTCAGTATTATGTCAGTTATTGGTTAATAGCATTATTCGGTTAAAATAGCTTTGATGTTTTATCCCTACAGATAAGATCCATATTGGTAATAAATAGACTACATTCTGAGCACAGCGATTACTCACAGTATCACAAAGCTCTATCACTTTGGAGAAGAAGAACCACCAGTGCACTCGGGCCATCTGTCGACACAACAACCAACAATTGAAAACCACCATTAAGTTTTACATGTTTTTTCAGAATCAAATTTATATGAACACTGAATAAATCAAAATGACAAAAATGACAAAACACAAAAGTAACTGATATAGATATCCTATGGGATTTGTCCTCAGGAAGGGGCAACAATGTGACTTTGATTATTAAATCATGAGCACACTTGGCAGAGAATCATAAACAATTATTTTCCACATGAGTCTAGGGTTGTCAAAAATAATGAAAATCAGATACTAATCAATAGGCCTACCAAAACTAATACGAACTAATACGAAACTAACAAACACGTCCAGAGTAGCTTGAGAATGATCTTGATTATTCTCATCAGTACAAGCATAAGACCATGTAGACTAGAATCCTCCAATACGCACTTTGGAACATTCCTGTGTGACTGAGGGATTACGCAGATATAAAACAGCATGGTAATATAAAAGTACTATGATTTAATGTTAAAAATGATATTGTACTGTCTAAATAAAGAGTGTTTTTTATTATCATCGTGGTGTCAGAATCAGTATTTAGTATTGAGTCTATTCCTTAATATAGAATTTGAGTTTGAAATGTTAAGATTGTGACAACACTCTTCAGCATTATGCTGTGCACATAGCATCACAGTATTCTTGGTAAAAAATATTCATGTTAACAATGTTATTTTAAATCAGCATGTACACTATCTACTTGGGTTCTGCTCAGTAATATTTTGGTGGGTGATAACAAAAAGACAAAAAGTATGTTGAAATCATCTCACACTTAACCTAAAGTAGGGGCACAGTAAAAGACCTTACTCTCATAGCCAGTGGGCTATCACTGTAGTCCACGGGCTGGCACAGCAGACTGTATTTGGCCAACCAGGCTGAGGCAGTGAACTGAAAATACAAAAGCGGCTTTCATCTCTGCTTTGGTTTGTTTCTGTCTGCGTACATAAACACAAAATCTCATTTTGTCAAAGTACTCATGAGCAAATCACTTTCTGTTTCAGAGATAATGTCTATGATGTGGACAAAGCATACAGGCCTATTAGCCCCAACATTGAGAACACTGAAAAACCTGGTGGTGATGTTAAACTCCAATAGGCAGTGTTTAAATGTTGTCCTTAAAGGTGAACTGTGTAACTTTTCTAGTGGAGATACTGGAGAACAGTATGGCATTCAACATATCTATTTCCATGGAGACAAGCAAGTGGAGACAGGCCAAGTTACAGACAGGCCAAGTTACAGGTCAGATCTTTGGGGAGACGCTTCAGTAAGAATGCATGTATTTCAAGGTATATTTGAATAAAAATGCAAGATAGATAAGTTTAATGCAGTACTGTGGAACCCTTTTCCAGATGCTGTTTCATTGCTGTCAGAAAACACCATAAATCCATTTCTTGTTAGTACTTTTTTTTTTTTTTTTTTTGGCAAGTGGCTGTAATGTTTCAGTTGCCTACCTGTTCTCATTATTCTATTGCTCAACAGGCTAAATAACAATGTGTAGCTTACCTCATAGCTCATGTAAAATGAGAGGAACACCATGGCAAAATTGTAAACTAGCAGCACTGGTTTGAGGTTCACTGGGCTCCTATTTGCCATCAGCTTTGGCCCTGACCATAATATTATCAAATATCCAAGGAATATACAGGCGATGGGCACTGGAGAAGAGACCAGCAGCCATTTGTCTGTCCTCTTGTCTAGACAGAGATGAGAAGAGACATAATAGCACTCTTATGTCTAACAATATCAGAACTCAAGGCAATTGACAAACCCTTCAAAACGTACCTCCATTTTCTAGAATCCCTTGATATAACACCTCGAGGTTTTTCCAAGTGGTAACTCCACCCTGGAATTGACATCACAAGAACTGCTATTAGTTTTCTGAGTGCTCAATACACCCAGAATGCTTTGCTCTTCAACTTGCCAATCATTGAGAAAAGAAATGTCATATCTGTAATCACAAAAAATGTTCAGACAAGATGCAACAACCCCCAGTGATAAAGTTGATCAAAGATGGTCACAATGCAGGGATTATACATCACTAATCCAAACGCATCTCCAGATAATAGATAAAAAACCTCTTGCTTGATGAATAATAGCCATCTCGAGCGAGTGCTGCCACCTCCTGGTGTATTGTGGAAATGTGTTGTACATAATATGGTACTGCACATTTCAGTATTTGTCAAACAGTTGAGGCTTTGCTATGCATTGTGTTTATTAGACAGGGCCTTAGCTCCCTCTAGTGGTGGTGTGAAGAAAACGTGCCTATATTACAGTTTTTCAAAACTCAAAACGCTCTGCTCCACCTTGTGATGTCATGAAGCGGTAGTTTTCAAGTTAACAGCTCCTTTTACCTTTAGTTCAGTAGAGACTGGAACATAGTGGGACACTTCCCGGAATACCACATGACATCACAAGGTGGAACAGTGTTTTGTGTTTGAAAAAAGAACTCAGTCTTAATATGCAGGGTTGGTGTGATAAACATGAATGAATGAAATGTTTTTGATAAGGAAACAACATTATAAAAAAGACCAGAAAATAGCATAATATGGGCCCTTTAATGATGAAATACTATTTTTATTGAACAACATGGCCCTTAAGTCTACATCAAGGCATGCAAAATACAGTTTATGGCATTACAATTACATTTTCTGTTTGATTAATTTATAGATTATCTTTAGTTAACTCAAATGACGAAACATAGGCTATAGCCATTTGATAAAGTATTCATGTCTTAGTTGTTGCCTCTGAGTGCTAGTGAATATCTATATGTAAATCTATAATTTTATTGGCTGAAACTCTAAATTTATCAGAAAAAGATCAATTAAACTAAGACCCAAAATTTAAAGCTCTAGGACAGAGTGTAGTTCTTATTTTGTAACCTCAGTAAAAGCATTGTTTAGTAATTGGGCTGCAAGGATGAAGGATGAAGGTATAAGCAGTTTAACCTACATGGGACTGTCTTCCTGGGGATTTGCCCGAGAAATCCCAACCAGAGTACAGCTTTGATAAGAATCCCACACATGTAAACAATGCATAATGAGATCTTTATAACAGGACAAGCTTATACCTAGAATGAGCAGTTTCAACTTCATGCTTTTATACCCTCAATGACTATTTGTAAAAAAGAATGCAGAAGTCCACCAGCAACTGCAATGTCCCTGTGATATTCTGTGAATGTAAATACAAATATTTTAAAATTGTATCTAACTTGTAGGACTTACCATGTCTGTGTGAGTGGCTTCTTGTCTTCCAGTCAACTGCTGGTCTAACCTGTTGCAAAGGGACATATGGCTGTGGAGAAGCTCAAGTCTTCAATGACAAATCCTATTGGCCAGACTGCTTTGGAGGATAGCGCATTTTGTATGCAATCATCAAGCAACATTCAAAGCAGTGTCACAGCCTATGTATCGTTCTGTTGCCCTCTCTTCACCAGTGCAAAAAGCTCATATTAATTTAGATTTGATAATATGTCAAATGTCCTCTCAGAAGTCCTGTCTTTTTTCCAGGTTTAGAGCAGACACCGAAGATAACTTTATTGTACATTTTAAACACAGAATAAAGACAATGCAATGAGAAAACACATTTGTGATACTGTACCCTGATATCCTGCCCTGTAGCCTGTTAAAAGTAGAAAGTAGCGATAGTATTGACTGAAAGATAAACATATGAAAAGTAAACTTGTTCTGTTTGGTTGGTAGTGAGTGAGTACATGCCCACATACATCAACCCACAGCTCCCTGGTGTCAGGTTTTCACTGCAGATTTCATTCACTGGACATACCTGCTCACGTCAACCACACAGGAGCAAGAAGATATTTACAATGTTATCTATTAGCTAATACTAAAACATTCTATACTTACTACTGTACACTGTGTTGTGGTGTTTTATAAGAAATAATAGGAAAAAAACAACAAAAGATTAACCTTATCATTAAGTGACAAACCTACGGTGCATACACAATGACATCAAAATCTGTATATTGACAACAGATATTTTACTTGCCTTATGAATTAAATGCAATGTCATTAAGTTATTCTGAAAGTAACAAAAAGTTTTATGCTGGTCTTGAGTTTCCTGTTTAGACACCATTTTGTGGATTTGGATTTGCCAATTCAAAAGATACAGCATTTACTTTTGAAACTTTGGCAGTTGTAATAATGAATAGTGACAATGACTTTAGGATTACTTCTTTTGCTTATTGTGTTGATTCTGAGTCCTGTTGTGGTGGTGGTGGTGCTGCTGGTGGTGGTGATGGTTGCCATGGTGATGAGGATAATGATGGTGATGATGGTGGTGGTGGTGTGAGCGTGGAGGTGGTGACGTTGGGCCCATTTCCTCTGCTGCAGGTGCTGAAGAGACAGGTGTTGTCTGGTTCCTGAAACTACTCCCACTGGTGGTATGGTTGGAATGGCCCTATAAAAATAAATGGTAAACATGATTTGTCTGCTAAAATCTTGGTAATCAGATGGCTGTAGTTCACTGTATTTTTTGCAGATTTTTATGTTTACTTACTGTGCAGTTGCAGATATCTCTAAAATAAGTTGCTCTGATAGCAGCTTCCACATAGGGTAAATTCAGCAAACTATATGGAAGGACTATATGGAAAGTCAAAAGACCGCATCTGAAACAAAAAAGACAGTACTTAATACATACAGTTTTACATTTATTTTAATCCAGCTATGAAGGTTTGCTTAATCAACACAAAACAAAAAAATAATATATATATATATATATATGTGTGTGTGTGTGTGTGTTGTAAGCTCTTTTACAAGTATGTACCTGTCATAGACGAGAAAGTCATCTTTGTCCCCATCCAAGATGTCCCACACATCCTCTTGTAAAGGTGCTTGCTGGTATACAGGAACACTAGGGGGCGCTCTCCTCTTCAGCTCCCAGTACATGGCTCTGGACTCAGCCCTCTTCTCATTCACAATCATGAAGGACACCCCTGTCATGTTGCTACGATCAAGCTTCTCCTGCAGGCGGCCAATTCTACAAGAATAGAAACCAAAAGCTATAAATAACAGACTATTAACTATGTAACTAAAACTAAATCTGACTTGGTAATATCACCTGCTTGTCTCCATGGAGATAATAAGTTAAATCCCATACTGTGGAACATTCCAGGCAAAGCAATAACATCTCCATGTAGAAATTAGGTGGGGTAACCTTCACCAGAAAAGTTACATACTGCCCTTTTAAAATGTTGAATGATTATCAGACAGTAATAATTAGCAGTTGAAGTAATGGTTAGTAATGACACAAACCAATGTTCATGGCCCCAGGTTAGACCTAACTTAGTCTGTCTTAGCTGAATTAGTTCCTAGCCTTACCCTGCTTTTCTCCCTGATTAAGAATAGTTCAAATGTTGGAATTACACTGTTTAGTCCCATAGTCACAATTTAATAAAACTTGATTTAAAAAACGTAAGCTCTTACTTGGCTGCCTGCTGGAGACAGAGCTGTCAGGTAGCCTTCAGAAGAGCCACTACTACCAAATCTCCCTGCACCCCATTCATGGGTGCTTGGCCCTTGATTTCCCAGTGGGGGGCAGGCTTGCAGATCCTGGAGGCAGTATTCTCCCCCTCCACCAGCAGAGTGACATGTGAGGCCCAGAGCACACTTGGCAGGGCCAGACACAGCCACAAAGATGAGAGAGAGCCCATTGTCCCTCGTTGGAGACCTATAAATAAATATAAAACATCAATGACAAAGGGGCTGTCTCTTCTCGTCCAAAATCTCCAGTGATGCTTTTGACAATTAGATTAAGGTTTTAGTCCAGTGTCTTTTATCCAGAAGTAAATGGTCATATGCACTGATCCCAAAATAATGAAGGGAGAGTAAACAGCTATTGTGTGGGGCAGGGGCAAAGGGACAGAATGCCAGATAAACAAAAATGACACCCCATGCAAATCATATATGGTTAAATAGAGGCTAGTATATAAATGGGAAAAGTTCAAGAAATTAAAGGCACACTATGAAATATTTTCTGGTGGCAATACACTCTCTGCTCATATCCAGGAAGATGGTTGCTTTACCTAGAAGTTCCTCAGTCTGGTATCAAATGTATTCATATTGTATTTAATCAATTACAGATGTTTTTGTTGCTCCAAAATAGAAAAACGGCATTCTCACTTTGAGCTAGGTCCCCTTTCTACAGATCTCACCTGTAACTTGCCCAGGTGATGTCACCTGCTTGTCTCCATGGAGATAAATTTGTTTAATGGGATACTGTATAACATAGCAGGCAATCCAATAACATCTCCATAAAGACAAGTGTACTCTTCCAGAAAGTTACATAATGCACTAAGTATAAGATGTCCAGTTGATTACATATGATTTCTATTTTGATTTTTAAAAAAGAAAATTAAACATATTTTACCTGCTTCCGCTCTCTGCTCCCTCTGTCCCATCTGAGAATCTCTGCTCTGTGCTCGTTTTTAAAGACTTTGGTGATAATGAAGCACTTCCCCCAATTCAAACAGACAGAGAGATAGGGGGAGAGGGAAACAACTAGGGAAACAGTGTAGGCCAGGGGTATTCTAGAGCATGTTTGAAAATACAAAATAATGACATTACTATTATTACTATTACTTTATGACTCACAAAGTGTATTAACATACATGTTTATTGTAACACATTTGATCTACAGTGTGTTAATTAAATAAGATCAAATTAAAATTTTTATTTTTATCACCACCAAACAACTTGTGTTGACATGATCGGTTTATGGCTTTAGAGGGCCATGTGATCATCAGAGAAAATCAATTGAACTCACAAGACAGAGCTCAAAGTGCTGTTTCTGTCTATTTCGACATTCAATTTACGGTACAGTACAAACATGTAATCATCCATTACATGTGCACTGTAGTCAATTCAATCTTGAACTAAATTTATATTGTTGTGAATGCTTCTGCTTGTGAATGCTTCATAAAAGCCTGATTGGGTTTCACTGATTATTTCATCCATGCCATTTTAGAGGCAGTTTAAGAAAATATTAGTAATTTGTTATCTGTATTAAGTAACATTATTGGTCTCCAGTCATCAAAACGTTTTAAAACTTTGCCAGCTTTTGGAATTAATAATTTGACCTTGTTTCATTGTTGCTGATATTGTTTATGGTTTCTTGCAGAGTTTCAAATAATAAATCTTTAATCTCTGGTCAGAAGTGTTTACAAAAATTTGCTGTGAGGCCAAGAGCACAATCAGTGGTAATAGATTTCAGAGCTTTTTCCAATTTGTGGTTAAGATGCCTGTTGTTTTGCCTTGTTTTACATTTCATGCATTCAGCTTGATGTAAATGCTTGATATAGACATGAACTGTATGAAGGAGCTCGATTTACATGCTGATCCAGTGACCCAGACTGTGACACTTTTTATTTCAACCAACTAAGTCCTAGAGGGAAGAATTTGTCAAACATCAAATAAATAACTTGACTTAACTAATGACTTTTGCCCCCATGCCTTTTATGCTAAAGTTAATTATGGTCTTCTTGGGCCTATCTGAGATGGCTTTGTACAATCAAAGTGAAATTTTCAAAAAGTCTATGGGAAAAATGTATGTAAATTTTACTCCCAGAATCCAAGGTCACAGTTGAGCTCCATATGTGGCAAAAGATGGTCTCTGCCAAAAATGTCAGCACAATATAAGTGCTATTAAACCATTAGTACTCAGACAAAAAAAGTTTGCTAAGTTGTGTATTAATTTATAAAAGTTTTACATTGTTTAAACCTATCTTACCTCTGCCTTTAGACTCAATTTGTGCTGTAGTATTTATTGAGTTCCATAAAATTACTGTGACAGGGGTTCCACTGTCAAATATTGATATACATTTTAAAATTAATAGAATACCAGAAAGAATTCCAACATTTCTGCAGATTTTAATCATTAAAACATTGCAGTTGTGTGCATATTAGGGTTTCCTGTCACCACACTCATGGCATCATCAAAATGATATCACCCTGTAGACAAAACAGGCTAAGAGTGGCTGGATTGGAGTGAGATGCACAATGCAATGAAGACTGAGATTTCTTTTTAAATCTTCCCAAAACAAAGCGACCAAGTGCTAAAAACTACAATGCAATAAAGTGCATTGGAGGACAGGAGCAGGTCTTCTTCAGCAGCAGAACAATGAATGGTTGAAACAGGCACCTTATATTCCACTGAGTAAAACCATTACAACTCCAAGGGATGTAAAAGTGACATTAGCTGTATACAACTAAGTTAAAATTCTCCAATAATTGGCTTTCAAAATGTTAATTGCTCTGGCAGTTGTGGATAGTATAATGGATAGTGACAATAACTTTAGGACTACACCTTTTCCTGAGATCGTGTTGGATCTGAGTCCTGTTGTGGTGCTGGTGGGATTGGTGGTGGTGATGGTTGCCATGGTGATGGTGATGATGATGATGGTGGTGGTATGAGGATGGAGGTGGTTGTGATGGGTCCATTTTCTTTGCTGCAGGTGCTGATGAGACAGGTCGCGTCTGGTTCAGCTATTACGAGTTAATGTTCAGGAAACTGCTCCCACTGGTGCTATGGCTGGAATGGGCCTGTAATATAGTATAGTATCAAATGGTAAAGACAATTAACTTTACAGAAGGCCAATTCTGTGTTTATGCTGCCATTGTGCCAAATAATATAATACTTTCATATTCAAAGTAAAACAAAAAGTAAAACACATAAAGTCTAGTTATATCCAATTACCAGAAAATCCTGGTCATCCGATGCTGGTTTTGAAACTTGATCTTTATGTTTACTTATTGTGCAGTTGCAAATATTTCTATATTTTATAAAATAAGTAGTTCTGATTGCAGCTTCCACAAGGTAAATTCAGCAAACTATATGAAAGTCAAGTCAAAAGACAACAAAAAATGCAAAACATGTTAAATCTTTATTCTAATCCAGCTATAAAGGTTTGCTAAATCAGTGTATATTTTTACTGGTCCAAAGAGTGGATGAAATAAAGAAGGTTAAGCCTATGTTTGAAATGCTATATATATATATATATATATATATATATATATATATATATATATATATATATATATATATATATATATATATGATGATAATATATATATAATATGATGCTTTTACAAGTATGTGCCTGTCATAGATGAGAAAGTCATCTTTGTCCCCATCCAGGATACCTCACACATCATCTTCTAAAGGTGTTGCTGGTACACAGGAACACTAGGAGGCACTCTCCTCTTTTATGTTGAAGGGTGTACCACATCCTTGTTTTCAAGTTAGGAGATGTTAGTGTTAGTTCCATAGTATGACATTAAATCAACCTTGTATTTTTTCATTTACGTAATGTTGTTTTTGTTGCCTTCTTCATAAATCTGACTTGGCGATATTACCTGCTTGGCTCCATGGAGATAATAAGTTAAATGTCATACTGTGTAACATTCCAGGCAAAACAATAACATCTCATGTAGACAATATACATGGTGGAGTAATCGTAACCAAAAAAGTTACATACAGCCGTTTTAAAATGTTGAAGTCTAGAAACACAGAGATCCTGCCTTTTGGCCAAGCACAGTTCTGAATTAGTTTCTAGTCTTACCCTGCTTTTCTCCCTGATTAAGAATAGTTCAAATGTTGGAATTGCACTGCTTAGTCCCATAGTCACAATTTAATAAAACTTGATTTAAAAAAGTAGTCTCTTACTTGGCTGCCTGCTGGAGACAGAGCTGTCAGGTAGCCTTCAGGAGGGCCACTACTACCAAATCTCCCTGCACCAAATTCATGGGTGCTTGACCCTTGATTTCCCAATGGGGGGCAGGCTTGCAGATCCTGGAGGAAGTATTCTCCCCCTAAACCAGCAGAGTGACATGTGAGGCCCAGAGCACACTTGGCAGGGCCAGACACAGCTACAAAGATGAGAGAGAGCCCATTGTCCCTCGTTGGAGACCTATAAATAAATATAAACATCAATGACAAAGGGGCTGTCTCTTCTCATCCAAAATCTCCAGTGATGCTTTTGACAATCAGATTAAGTTTTTAGTCCAGTGTCTTTTATCCAAAAGTAAATGATCATACGCACTGATCCCAAAATAATGAAGGGACAGTAAACAGCTATTGTGTGGGGCAGGGGCAATAAGGGGACAGTCCACCCAACACAAAATTTACCTATGGTTAGATACACAGGAAAAACATTCAAGAAAATTAAAAATTATGTAATTGCACAATTAAATTTTTTTTAGGCTATATTTCCATGGAGATGTTACTGTTTTACATGGAAGATCCATAGGTATTAATTGTATCTATACTGTATTTTATCGAGTACAGGTGTTTTAGTTGCTTCACAATAACATGGAATCTCACTTTGAGCTGGGTCCCCTCTCCATAGAACCAGTCTGTAACTTGACCTGGTGATGTTGCTTGCTTATCTCCATGGAGATAAATACAGTATGCTGAATGGCATAACACTCCAGGTAATCCAATTACATCTCCATGGAGACAACTGCTCTCCTCCAGAAAAACTACATAACACACCTTAAGTATAAGCTGGCCAATTCATTACATTATGACTGCTTTAATTTTTTAAAAGTACAGTAAAATGGTAATTCAGGGAATAAAAACATCTTATCATACATAAACATTAACAAACAAGTTTTACCTTCTTCCACTGCGCCCTATGTCCTATCTGAGACTGTCTGCTCTGTGCTTGCTTTATGAAAACTTTAATGATGAAGCGCTTCCCCCAAATCAAAAAGAGTGATAAGGGAAGGAGAAACAACAGTGCAGTTGAGGGGTATTTCAGAGCACATTTTAAAATAGTCAAGTCCATAACATAAATTATTGTTATTATTAATATATGACTCACAAAGTGGATTACCATAAATTTCTTTTGCAATATAATAGATCTACAGTTTGTTAATTAAATAAGCTCAAATATACACATATTTTTAAACAACACCAAACCACTTGTGTTGACATGATCGGTTTATAGCTTTAGAGGACCATGTGATCAACAGTGAAAATCAATTGAACTCACAAGAAAGAGATCAAAGTGCTGTTTCTGTCTGCTTCGACATTCAATTCACTGGGCAGCACAAACATTTCATTTGTGCAAGTTTAGCAAGGTTGCACAAAATAAAAATAAAATCAGTTAATTAGGCTCTTGATAATCCAATACAAATTGTTAAAGGGCATTAGTGATATAAATTCATCTTAATATAGAAAAACTTCCAACAACTGTGGCTTTTAATAATTAAAACATTGTAAGTAGTGACATTACAGTTGTGTGCAAATTAGTGTTTCCTGTCACCACAATTATGGCATCAAAATTATATCATCCATTACTAAATTCAAGAATTTGGATACTGAGCCTAATACCGCAAGGAGATATAATACAACATGTTTAAAATTGAGGTGGGTTGATGAAAATAACTATATGATAAAATATGTTAATATTCAAAATTCATATGGCTTAATAAGATGTATAGTTATTATCTCTGTTTTTACTTCTTCTGTACACAGGCTTGTCAATAGTGATAACCTGAATAAATAAATGAACCCACACAAAAATATTCTCCCAGAATCCTTCTTAATATTACTGGGGCACATAAGCAGCAGAAATATGTACCCCTAAATAAAACTTTAGTCCATATGCAATTCTGAAGACTTATTTTTATAGGGATGGGACGAGTCACAAGACCAGACACAACACAAGATTCACGGAAATGAGACAAGATGAGATTTTGACATCAATGATACTAAATAAATTTGGGCTCAAATTTTCAATTTTTTTTTTTACTGTAATTGTTTTAGCTCACGAGATCTTGCCCCATCCCTAAATTGCATAAATTCATGTGCAGTTGTGACCATATATGTATACGACATGTCAGTTAATTACACCAGTGTCGAAATGTAACTGTCACAAATCTTCAGTCCCATCTCTTTTTGAGATCAGGTGAAGTGACCTAAAATGTATATTCTTTGGTTGGTGCAGATGGTTTGAAGTCAGTGTGCTTTTGAGCAATCAGGACAAAACACCAATGAGTTCTTCATCATTGTCTCCGACTCCTTGTGTGGGACTGTCACAGGTCGCCATGAGGCCAAGGCCAAGCTCAGCCAGCTCCTCACAGCTCATATCTGTGGTTACCATGATTTTAGTCTCCAGTCGATTACACAGCGTCCTGTAAGAAGGCAAAGGGTACCCCAGTTCACGTAGGTACTCATAGCCCTTGGTACCAACAGCACTACGAATTTTCCGAGCTTTAATTATTGTCTCAGGAGACCAGACAGCACGTCGGGAGCGTTTGGTGAGGGACAGAGCACGAATCTGATCCTCATATAAGAAGTTCTGGAGGCCCTTTTCAATGCGATCAAGTCGATAGAAACGCTTCTTCATTTCCTCAACCTAATGGGGAGAGAGGAAAAGTCAGTACCATCTATAAAACTTTTCATAAACAAGAACAAAAGACAATGAATTTTACGTTTATTATAGTCAGTACATTTGCAATAACATTTATTATTGGGTAACTACATATTTAATAATTTGATGTGTGTGTTCCCTGGTTGCATACTTTAAGCCATTCATTCAGTTATATGAAGCATTTACATGTGGATAGTAACATACATGTGGACAAGAACATAAATACATCTCCAAATAGTATGTGTAAAATGTGTACCTCTTTTTGTAGCCTCGCTGAATTTTGCATCTCCTGCTCCAGCTGTTTCTTGAGGAGCAGACATTGGGTGCAGGGCTGCTGGTCTTCTCTGGTGCAGTCTCCATCCTCCTCGTCCATTCCTGGCAGTGGGTTGCGCCTTGCATAGCCATGGTCCCCCACATTCAATTCCTTCTCAACTGAAAGAAAACGTTCTCTTTAGGTAATTAGGATTGATCAACATGGTTTCACTTTAAGTGGATAACTTACCTGGTTCTGGTTTTAGCGGGATGGTAAGGAATGACGTTGTGATAATTGGATAAGGAGGCTCTCCAATACTAAAAATTGTTGGAATTGCATTGGGCTTCAGCTTCTTCCCACCAGCTGGAGATCTGGCAACCTCCTCAAACTGACTGTGCTCAAAGTGATCCTGGTTTGGAAAATATAATAAAACATGATAACATGCAATAGCCACAGTTGTTTTATCAAGGCTGCCGTCTTACTTCGCAGAGTCTGGAGTGAGGAGTAGGTTCAAAATCCCGTCGACAATTGACCACCCATTTCTTCTTGCGCACTGGGTCTTTGGGGAATCTGAACAGCTGTTTGCCAATACTAGTTGAATTTGAGCAATGTGGAGCAGAGCAGCCTCCCATTGCCAAAGCAAACGCGAACGCTTTCAATGACAACCGAAAACTGCGCTTTTTGGTCGCGAGTTGCGCCCAGAGTTCGATATTAAATAATGAATTACTTCGGTTTTTATCGCTAAAATTACAAACAACAAGCAGAAAAAGTTATATATGCAGTGTAGCTTTACGCCTAGAAACCAAATGTGTAGTTACCAATTCGATTTACATTGCAGTTAAGCTTTTTTCTTAAAATAATTTTGACGAAGATAAAATATTTCTGACTTTGTTTGAGCCAAAATGGCGCTAGAATATTTCGCAGTGTAGTTTGGTGACGTCATGTTTACGTGCGCCTGTTGCGGTTGCCTTTCCAAAAACAGGTGAATGTGCCAAAATTTCAAAGGAAATTTAAGATTAACTATAAAGTCAAGTGTATATTCAATTTATTACCATCGTGTCTTGGCACTATGTAATAAGTGGATTAATTAATTATATGTATTACACTTTTATTATCACTCAGGCATTTTAGCCACATGGTGGTCCTTTTTGTCACATGACCAAGCACAGGACCCAAAAGCACGTTGAAATGTTTACGGTTTCTGCATCTTCAAATTGTATATTTTATTTGACGTTTCACCTGCTCCAAAGTCTTAATTAACTAACGCAACGCAATAACTGTCTTAAAAAAGACACATTTTTAGTGGCTTAAATATAAAGCTGCAGTACTAAGTTACAAAGTGATGTCCTCCTTCGTAGTTCCAGTCATTGATGTTCACAATGACAATTTTAAGGAGCTTTGGCCTGCTATGGTTGTTGCATTGAAAACCTCTTCCTTTATTGCTCTTGACACCGTAAGTATCGTGTTGTATTTTGAAGGTACACCATAGTTAATGTATGTAATTATAACGAGTATTATATCTTCAACATTGTACTTTGTTTATGGAAATGTGTTCATTACAAATTAGGAGCTGAGTGGTCTTGGGAACAGGAAATCTCTACTAGCTGAGTAAGAATATCGTTATAAGTGTTATACCATGTGCATCTTCATCTTTTCGCTATTAGTGTCTGAAATTAGAATACTTAATATTTTGTTCTCTATTCGTTCTAGATCTATAGAGGACAGGTATAAGGCCATATGTCATGCTGCTCGCTCTCGCTCCATCCTCTCTCTTGGTTTCGCATGCTACAAACTACTAGACAACAAGGTAACTCACTGCTAGTACAATTATAATAAAAGAATAATTAAGCCCGATTTTATTTCCTTTGCCACAGCCTGCAGACTCGTACTTGGTCCAAGTGTATAACCTGACTCTACTGTGCTCAGAGGAGTACATCATCGAGCCTCAGTCTGTGCAGTTTCTTGTGCAGCACGGCTTTGACTTCAATAAACAGTATGCTCATGGGATCCCTTATCTCAAGGGCAATAATAAGGTAATGACACAAGCACTACCACAAATATTATTTAGTCTTTATTGTATCTCTTCTTGTTGTTCCTCCACAACAGGCAGGATCTGACTACCAGGGGGTTCACATCAGGGCTCTGTTCACTGAACTTCTGCGTGCTCGAAAACCATTGGTGCTCCACAATGGCCTCATTGACATGGCCTTTTTATACCAGGTACATTACATGATTCATGATACTAAGCTGTACTCAGTTACTAACATGTTGTTTTTAATATTCTGTAAATGTTTACTAGTTGTAAATTGGTATTAGAGCAATATCTACTTTTTTGCCAGAGTTTTTATGCTCATCTGCCTGAGCAACTGGTGACCTTCACAGCTGATCTGTCAGAGATGTTTCCTGCTGGTATTTACGATACCAAATATGTCACTGAGTTTGAGCTCAGGCTAACAGCATCCTACCTGGAGTATGCCTACAAGAAATGGTCAGTGGTACTTCTCTTGTAAATCTGAGAGATTTTTATTAATTGTTTTATTTGATAACATAAACTTATTTTTTTCTCTCAGTAAACTGGATAACATTCGTGGTTTGGCCTCTGGAGCTGCTGGTCCTCATGTCCAAGTGGAGTTCTGTCAGTATAGCGGTCATATGTCCAGCTATGTGGACTTCAGAGAGTGCCCAGATGTAATCTCATCAGAGGGACAGACTGAAATATGTGAACGCTTCTCTGTGAGTGATCTGATCTGTTAAGCTTAATAAATTATGAGTGTGCTTTTCATAAAACTGTCTTTTTTGCTGTGCACAGGCTTTTGGTTGGTGTCCAAATGGCACACAGTGTCCATTGTCCCATGACACTGACCTCATTGTCCTCCAAGATGAAAAGAACAAGGAGGATAAAAGAAAAAAGAGGAAGCGACAAAGAAATAAGAAGAAAGGAGGAGAGAATACAGAGGATTCATCTATTTTTGAAGGTGCACCAGAAAACAAAATACCCCACATGGAAATAGATGTCCAAGAACAGTCTATCGATGGGCCTGTTGCAAATAAGACAGATGAAAACAAATCTGTTACAACCAGCCACCTCCCAGACCTCCCAGCTGATACTGACAATAGTGTAGAAAGCATGAATAAAGATGTATTGAAAAAGTCCCCTATCCTCTCACCACAGAAAAAGAAACAAGACACAGGGACACACAGGGCTGGGTTTGATGCTTTTATGACAGGATACATATTTGCTCATTCTTGTGTCACTGACCGAAAAACTGAGGAGGGGGCGACTAGGAGTGAACAACCAAAGCAGGACATACAACAGTGGCTTCCTAGTTGTCTCAATAAGGTGTACCTCAGCGGCAAATCTGTCCCACTAAACATAGTCAAAAGCACCTTTGCCAAGTCATCCAAAGCACATGTGCAAAAAATGGAGAGAGTGTGGGAATCAAGACAGTAGTGGTTTTGAATTTAACTTTTCTTTTTTGTTTAATTCTGTTTTAGTCATGCCATAATGCACCTTTGTTCACTTTTTTCCTTCACAATTATGACTCGATACAATACTGGATTATAACAAACGATTAAGACCTTCAAATTAATTTATAAACAGGTTGGTTTAAGAAAGTGTAAATTATATTGTGCAACAAAGATCACAAAATACATCTTAATTTTGTATTGTAGTGCATGCTTGTAGCTTTTCTGTAAATTTTGAGACTATTTCTTACATTTTACACTTTAAGCAACATGCCAACAAATAAAACTTTTTTTCTCTTTACACTGCCTCTCTGGCTTGGCATATTACTAACAACAGTATTTGTATAGACTACTAGTACATAGGCCTGTCCAATACTGCTCTCTTACCACATGAGGGCAGTAGTGCAATATGAACTCCTCTACCCTCCTTGGATGATTGCAAGAGGAAGAAGTACATTGACAGAGCATTGACCTGTCTCTGCTCTCTACGTGCAATAAAAGCTCATATCGCACTACTTCACGTTAGATTTTAGATTGACAGAGTGCAAATGAGCCACACGCTTAAGGACATTAGCTGATACACACTGATACCGAAATGGCGGACAGTGAAATGGACTACAATATCGTGTTTCCAGATGCAGGGACGTCGGGTGAGCATCACATCCATTGTACAGTAACATGGTTCAGTTAGCTTAGCCTACCTGCTAGCCTTCTGCATGTGCCACACTGACTGTTGTATGTAAAGGTGTCATTTAGCCCGTGTGTCCTGTTTCAGAGAGGCATTGGCAGGGGACAAAGGAGCCAGTGGTGATCCTGCTGGGGTGGGCTGGCTGCAAAGACAAACACCTGTCCAAATACAGCTCCATTTACAACGAACAGGTACAAATCTGCTACCTGCCATTGCTATCTGTCCTTTTCCTTCACATAGTATTATATCTGTAAGTTTACATACAGGTGTGTCAATAGCTTACTTAATTCCTAAGAAAGATAATTTATTTTACATACACTGCTTTCAATAAAGGTGATACACAATTTAAATTATCTACCAAATAAGGTCATATGGTTAATGTTTTTTTTTTTTTTTTTATCTAAACTTATATCTTTGTGCGTTCCTGTATGGTTGCCAAATCTATCTAGTGCTTCCCATTAACAGAGGAGACTATGGTGGCTATAGTCTAAATGAAACTGAGTGGACAATACATTGGTATTAAGAATAATATAGTGTTTGGTTGTTGTATTACCAGATTAAATAGTTACTTGTATGTATAATCAGTCTGTTATTGATTAAAAGAGACAATAAGTGACATATTTACCTTTTAGTTTTTTCAAATAAGGATTGCCTGGGCCACCATAGTCTTGTAAAAACCCGACTGAAACACAGAAATCAATACACAGATAACCCATACCAAAACTAATATTACTTCTGTGAACTACTTTTGTCTTGCCTGAAAATGACTCTAATCTCTATAGTTTAACAAAGTTGTGTTTTTCATTCATTTGATTCATATACTGTATAATTTCTTTACTGAAAGCTGTATTAAGTATTCAGCCTTTTCCTTAGTATCAATTGAGTTTTTGTATTGTGACAACAGTATTATGAACTTATAGCAGTCTTTTTTTTTTTTTTTTGCATATTCACTGAGTGCAATAATTGATAACTCCTCTTTGTGCTTTATCCAGGGATGCGTGACTATCCGCTACACAGCTCCCCTAAAGACCGTCTTCATTTCCGAATCCTTTGGGTACAAGGAGCTGAGCAGTATTGCCCTGAAGCTACTGGAAATTCTCTTCGACTATGAAGTGGAGAGCAGTCCTATTTTCTTTCACGTTTTCAGTAATGGCGGTTTCATGTTGTACCGGTATATTGTCGAGTTCTTGCACACCGACCAACAGTTTAGCTCCTTGAATGTAATCGGGGCCGTGGTGGACAGTGCTCCTGGTAGCGGTAATGTGCGAGGGGCCCTGCGTGCTCTCACAGCCACGCTTGGACCTCAAATCAGCCCTGTCCTCAGGTACATCCTCCTGGCACTTTTTGCCGTGACTGTTTTTATGTTACGAATTGTGTTGTACCCCTTGACCAAGTATATACACAAGAATCACTATGACGCAGTAAGGGATAATCCACCTGCATGGCCTCACTACTACCTGTACTCCAAAGCGGACCAAGTCATAAGACACAAGGACGTTGAGGATTTTGTGGAAAGCATCAGACGAAAAGGCGTCCCGGCAGAGTATTTTGATTTTGGTTCCAGCTCGCATGTCAGTCATTTTCTGGATTTTCCGGAAGAGTATGCAGCCAAGTGTCGTAGCTTTCTGGTGACTTGTATGAAGGATTTGGAAGGGACGGAGCTTAAGAAGAGACGTCATGTACAAAGTCAGTGATGATTTCAACTCAGCAAGAGCAGTTTGTCTTAACCCACAATGGACCACAAAACTAATCTTTCAATCCCAATAAATGCAAAAAAGTTGTGACAATGTGTAAAATGGTCAATTAATAATAAATAATATATAATGAAAAAAAAGTTAAACTAAAACATCTTACATTTCACATAAATGCAGTACCCTTTTTGCACTGGCCCTTTCTGATTTTATTTGCAGCAGCTTATAGTTAGCTGTCTTCCAATAGGTGTTAAAGCTTTTAGCTTATTTGTTACATTATTTCTACCAAGGAGGTAGACCATCCACTGAAACATGAAAGGTAAATACACCTATTTTGTCTAATTAAACCAAAAAATTAGCAAATAGTCAAAAAAAAACTTAAACACATTTTAAAAAGTCAGTGGAGTCAAATATTAATCTTGTATGCACAGGATTCTTCCGTTATTACCTCAAACTGCAACAGTGCATTTGGACATTGCTTGATGCTTATAAGGATCACTTTATGAGTCAGAACAGACTCTTCCCGTATCCCCCACATACTGTGGATGTTTTGCTCCACATTTTACACAGTGTCACATTTTGCATTGGGGTTGTGACTACCGTTCTGATGCACTTAACTTGATCCTTAAGGCTCTGGTTAAAACACTGTTTGTGCCACTGTATTTGGCAGTAAAGGCCTTACCCTGTCCACTCTCACTACTCCTGAAAGGAATGTCGTAACCACAAAACTTATACACTGGATTAGACTGAGTTATTTAGACTAATACATTGTATTAAATATTGCTGTGAAAGGTGATGCATTGTAGATTAGTAACTAGTTAACTTAAAGGTTATTAGAAAAGCATTAATGTTCTCTATTTATTAAAATATGTTTATCCTTTTTTCCATATTGTAAGGGCTGCTTGCATTAAGGAATAGAACTTATCTTTCTTTGGAAATGTAAAGAAAATGCCCCCTTGTTTGAGTAATTTAAGGACTAAGATGTACGTTGATATATTGTGTTTATTCAACTGATGTGCCTTCAATAAATCTGACTTGCTCAATTTGCTGTATTAATACCAATGAATGTCTTCTCAAGTAGAAAAGTCTGGGAAAGTCCACAGTGAGTAACATTTGAAACTATGCAGATGGTTGGTTAAATATTGTGTAGTTAACCTTTGCTCTGCTCCCCTGCTCTTTTACTAATGACTTTGCAATCTCACCAATGTTCTGATTAAAACAGAACATAACATCCACAATAGTATTTGACACAGTATGTTATTTATAGCTGATATATTTTTTATTGTGAGTACATGATGCGTCATTGCTTTTTCATTTTTTTGGTTCTTGGCAGGGATTTAGATTGATATAACATGGAAAAAACTGAGTATCAAGTCTTTATTTTTTCCTTATTTTCAGCATATCTCCAAGACTGTTTAAAAACCAAGCCCCTGAATTGGTCTAATGATGGTGTCCACTGGATGTTTACATGTCACGTTTGACATTTGGAAGAGCGATTGGCTGCCATTTGTCTGTGCTCCTGCCCTGACTCTGGCACTCTGAGAGTCATACAGAGCTGTGAGACAACACTGAGAGGTACGGATAGCAATAAATCAACACATTTGTTGTAAACAAGGAATAACCTAAAGGAGAACAAAAAAACAAAAGTTTATTCTTAATTAACCGTGAACTAGAACTGCAGAGTACCCCACCGTATCACCAGAAGCAGACGGTGCAGTGTCAATGCCACAGTTTGGGAACTTCGGTAAATTAACACAGTATTGTTTGTATTATTTGCGAGGTTCAGAACTGTTGCACACATGCTCCTAAAGAGGGCAGCATTACCTTATAGTTGCGAATCCTTCTATTCTGTGAAAAACTCGACATGGTCCATAACCAGCTTCACTGTAGTGTAGCACATTTCAACAATTTGGTCTTTGGTTTTCTAAAAGAAAAAAATCTCTGTGCAATAAAAACATTATTTCTAATTATTTTAAGGGGAAAATGTTAATGGAAATAAATGAGACCCTTACAAAAAGTCTTTTTAGTTGAGGATATTAAAAGGCAAGAAATTGATGAAAGGAAAACGTCATAACACACCCACGTTCTGAAAGAAGGAAATTACCCCATGTAAGTTAATGAAGTCTCACAAGTTGATGAGGGGAAAATTGCGGCGAAGAGGGGTCAGTGCTTTCTCTTTAGCCTTTCCCTCTTCTGTGGAAAAGTGCTGCGGTCAAGATCTATACTTTTAGAGGACACTGAGTACTCCGACGCAGAGACAGAGCGGGGGGAGCTTCAAGATTAATGGTATTAAGTGGTAGCACTTGGCAATGCGGTAACATATCGTCTATGTTCTCTATTCTGCGGTGATAGTTTCATAGACCTTGGCTTTATACATTGACTTTTAACTGTGATTTACAGGATTCAAATAATCTGGGTGGCTTTTTATTATCACAACACCCAACTCCAACCTAAGGTATAAACTCATAATCCAAAATACAATAAAACATGTGATATTTCCCTTATTGCACTTTGGGTTATCGGCCAAAGCATTTGCAACAAATGAACTTTTGCCAAAATATTTTTTTTCTTGATTTAATGTCAGCAAAAGAAGAGAAATAGTAGTTTATGTACACATTGACATTTTGCATGCCACAGACGCAAACCACTTTCTAGATCACTGGATGTGGATGAGCAATATTTTATCTGACCGGAACACACAGTAACAGATAGGAGGAGCTCTCCCCACTGAGATCATATCTCTTTGTTTGTTTGACATTTGGATTTTCCTTTTTTGACATGACTTCAAGATTTTGGCTTTTTAGGGCCAAGGAAATCATTACTGATATTTTTGAGATTACAACTGAAAGGGCCATCAGAAAGCCATGTGGCATCTGTAGTTTGTCAATCGATCGATACTCTAGCATAAAATAAAATGTTATTTTATACTAGAGTATATATTGTCTAAATTGACAATTCATAGGTGATTTAAGGACCACAGATGCAATCCACAACAATGAAGACAGTGTTTTGCCACGTTGTAAAATGCTTACTAAAAGTACTGGGACACTGGACAGGGCAGTCTGGGACTAGATTGCTGCCCTTGCACTGAATGGCAATTGTAATTATACACATGTTAAATCCCAAATTTACTGCATCTGTGGAAGTGTACCATATAAAGAAATGCTGTATCTAATTGTAGTGGAATTTTTGTGCTGAACACATGACTCCATCTAGTGGTACAAAACTGCAACAGCCTGCAAGTCAATGGGAAGTTGAACAAACCGAACTTCAAAACCAATACTGGGAACCAAGTGGTCTCCTAATGACGACTAACATATAATATGTTATAATAGCACATTTTGCACACAAACCTATTTCTACCACAAACACAAGGTTGAAACCTCTCCTCCTCCCCTCACTCTGCAGGACTGGCCTTGTGATCCGGTCGAGCAGGGAGCCAACCACTAGTCACTCCAGTCTCCTCTTCTCTCCTTAATGAGCAAAGTGTGTCACCAAAACCAACTGCAAAAGACAGCATGGGACATCCCCTACAGACTCCATACACACACATACACACCTTCATTGAGGACCAAAGTTGTCTCTGCCTTTGGAGTAACTTGAAAAGGCCTCCTGGTGTTTGGACTGAGGACTGAAGACCGAATTGATACGTGCGACAAAATCAAAATCTCCCCTGGTCTATCCCGGCTCCTCAGCTCTCTCTACTTAAGACCTAAAGAGGGAATAGAAAAAAAAGATCTGTTGATAAAGAGGAAAAAATCCAGAGCATAGCAGGATAGAGCCTTCCCCTCTCCACCAGCAACCAGCCTATATTGAAAGTGTGTGTGTGCGCGTGTGTGTGTGTCAATGTGTGTCAATGTGTGTGTGTTTTCTTCACAGATGTCCTTGAACGCGAACCCCCTTGGCTGTGCAAGATCCCCGCTGCCATTGGAGAACATTTGACAAGCAGCAGGCTCTTGTTAGTGCGCTGTCAAATTAAAAGTCTATGTGTGTGTAGGTTTTGGAGAGGCGGCAGCAGCAGCGGTGGTGGTACGGATATGTGTGTGGAGGGAGAGAGAGAGAGGCCCTGTCAAATTAAAAGTACCAAACAAACTGTGCATGTCAGGCTGAGCGCGTGAGCCCGGTGTGTGATGGGAGAGAGGTAAGGCCCACGGATGCTTTGTCTGTTTTTGTTTTTTTGTTTATTTTATTATTATTTTGGGGGTGAATTGTGTGTCTGTGTGTGTGTGTTTTGGATGTGGGGTTGAGGTATCTTCTGTGTAGGCGGTAAACAAATACAACCATACGGTTGGGCTGGAGTCTAATGAGGTGGTCTAAGGAACACATGCAGAAAATGTAAGAAATAATATTACGCCATGTTGAAAAATCGAATGCAATTTAAAGGTGCACTGTGTAACTTTTCTGGTGAAGAGTACGCCACCTGCATATCTCAGACACAACAAAAATGTATGTTTTCACATTCCAGGGAAATAAATAACATCTCCATGTAAGCATACTCGCCACGAGAAAAGTTGCACAGTGCATCTTTAAAAAAGCATTTGGGTATATAATGTAATGTAAAAAAATTGTTTTGCATTTTGTTTTGATAATATATATATACAGCAGTACTGACTAACTTTTTACTACCGGGCACTGTAATACCAAATTTGTAATACATTTGGAGTGAAAGGTAATACAGACCTTTAAGCTTTAATTGTGCATAATTGATTAATTTCTTTAATTTAATTAAGTGCATAATTATGCATTATGTGGTTTGAGGGTTACTTGATTGGTTAGTTAGTAAATATGTAACAATTGTTCTATACTGTGCATGCATTTCCCTCTTCTATTGTTAACAGTTCTTCCTCTCACTCAGACAAAGTTATCACTCCACCCAATCTAATACTAATAATTTATATCACAATTAAAAACGATTATGCTCCGGGCTAAATCATACTCAAGTGATTATTGGAGATGAAGACGAGTAGGGAAATGTATGAAAGCCTGGGAAAGACTAATGTGTTTTTGATGAGACAGTGGAAGAGTTTAATAAGGGCCTGGTGACAGATGACGTTTGGCTGGGACAGGGAGGGAGCAGCTCCGCAGGTGGAGCAGCAGCAGCCCTCAGTGTAAATACAGAAGACCTTTATGTCAGGAGCACTGCCCATCATTTACAGGACGTCCCACCGAGACACAGCTCGCCTCTGTCTCTGCTCAGTCCTCAGGCAATCTGGAAGACAAAAGGAAGAATAGGGCAAATGCATTGTGCTCAGTCAAGATGAAGCAGGTGTAGTTTATTCTTTTGGTATAACTTTCTGATGCATTTACTTTAATTCGATTTAATTTTATCTGAGAGATCCATTCAGATCAACGAGATTATAATTTTTTTTGAAGGGCTAATATTATGCTATTTTCTGATGTTAAAATGTTTCCTCATCAAAACATACCTGGAGTTTTGTTTTATTTTATGTTTAACACCCAAACCCTGCCTATTTTGGCTGAGTTCTTCTCTCAGACAGAAAACACTCTGTTCCACCTTGTGATGTCATGTGGTAGTGCAGGAAGCCCTCCATTGTGTTTTTAAACTCCACACATCTTCACCCGAATCATTTGAATAATTTCAGCCCTGGAATTGCCAGTCTCTACTGAACAAAAGGTAAAAGGCAGCTGTTAATTTGAAAACTAATGAAGACTTTGAAGACTAATAATAAAGGATTACTCAAACGTATGAATGAAAGAAAAACACAACTCCAGGTATGTTATCGAGGATTTAATGACATTCTGACAAGAGCTCACAACAGTAAATTTTGTGTAATATAGGATTTTAAGATTTACCTTGAATTTGTGAAGAGAACCAAGGACTAGAAAAGCCTGGAACTTGTAATATCAAAAATCTGGAGGTGTTCAAAACAAACAAGTGCTCAAAAATCTCATTGGAGGTTTACAAAAATTTTTGTCACTCAAACAGTGACATAAACAGGTTAGCAATATTTATTTTGATAGAATGGAATATTTTATGAATTCGGACATTTTGACTATTTTATCTTTTTTCAGCCCAAAACAT